CCCGACACGGGCATCTCCAAGAAGGGCATGTCGATCATGAACTCGTTCATCAACGACATCTTCGAGCGCATCGCCCTCGAGGCCTCCAAGCTCTGCCGCTTCTCCAAGAAGGCGACGCTCTCCTCCCGGGAGATCCAGACCGCGGTCCGCCTCATGCTCCCCGGCGAGCTCTCCAAGCACGCCGTCTCCGAGGGCACCAAGGCCGTCACCAAGTTCTCGTCCTAAGCGCGAACTCGGCGACCGCGACCGTCGCCCCTCCTCGGGGGAGCGACGCCGTCGCGTCGGTCACCACCACAACCACACCGGTGTTTTCGAACACCACCCTCTCGACGGAAGACTTCGCGACCGCTCGACGCGCTCGCGACGGCCCAGGTGGGTCCAGGCGGCGCCGCGCGCGCGCCCCCGCGCGCCCCGCGAGGAGGTCGCTTTCGCCCGCGCGAGCGCGTCCGGTCGCCGCGCGGCGGGGGCGACGCGTTCGAGCACGCACTCGAGCCGATCGATCGATCGACGCGCTCGCGACGGAGAGGTTGTCTTTCGCGGGGTTTGATGCCAGCGTCGTCGAGTGAATCGAATCCTTATCCCTCGTCTTCTTCGAGGGATCCTTCGCGCCCTTCGCGTCGACCGCTTCGCGCCCTTCGCGTCGACTGCTTCGCGACCGGACGTACCGTCCCCGCACGCGTCCCCGCACTCCTCCCGCCCCTAGGGACTCCCCCGCTCCTTGATTCCCCCTACATTAAAAACAGTACCTAACCCTGTTCTCCTCACTACCTCCCAATCTGAGACGTCGGAGCCTATGAGGTCCCACGTCCGTACTGATGAGGGTCCGACTAGGTCACCCTTAAAAACCCTGGGCAGCCCCTCCCCCGTCGCCGCCGCCAGCCCCCGTCCGTCGCTCGTCACAGCGAGCACCCCGCGGAGCTCGTCGACGACGAGCACGACCAGCGCGGCGCCGCCCGGCGCGACCGGGAGCCTACTGGGTCCCAGAGGCGCACGGTGTGCTTCGGCGCGCACAGGCTCGCGAGCCGCGGCGCGACCGTCACTTCGGCCGTCGCCGGGTCCGAGACTGTCGCCAGGCAGTTCACCAAGCCGGCGTGCCCCCGGAGCACGAGCAGCGCGGCTCCGCCCGCGGCGGGGTCCCGGACGCGCGCGTCGACCCGCTCGCGGGCCGCACCCCTCCCGCTGCCAAGGATGCTCGTCCTCGCCAACTCCCCCCGCTGCCGCCGTTCTCCATCCGCAGGGCACTCTTAGCTCCGGCGCGACGCGAGGCACAGGGGCAGGGGTAATGCCGGCCCCTTGCGGCGCTTGCCCGATGGCCGGTCGTAGTAGCTCTGGCGCGGCGGCGGCGGCGGCTTCCAGGCGGTCCGCGGCGGCGCGCCCGGCTCGGCCGACGCGTCGATCGCGGCCGAGGTCGCCGTGCGCGCGGGCGTGAGCGGCGCGGGCGCGGGCGGCGCGGGCGGCGCGAGCGACGCGGACACGCGTTTGCGTTTCCGTACCAAGAAAGCGAGCGCGTCGTCGTCGCTGTCGACGTCGTCGGTCTCTTCACCGCCGTCGCCGGAGTTGTAACACCATTTCCCGCCGCGATCCCAGCAATACTTGGTCTTGACGCGCTCGGGGTCACCGGAGATGTACCGCTGAAAGGCGCCGCCGGGCGCGCACTCTGGAGCGTCGGGGCTCGCCGGAAGGGGCGGCTCGCCGGCGAGCGCGACAGGTCGGAAATCCGGCGCGACGAGGCGCAGGGGCAAAGGCGTCGGCTTCGAATAGAAGTATCTTTCGCGGCGAGTAGCGCACCAGGGGAGCGCGAGCGACGAGCCGGTCGCGTCGTCGCGCCAGAGGCTTTTCCTCAGATAGGCTTTGTCCGTCCGCAGCTGCGCGTTGGCGGCCTCCTTGGACCATGGCTCCGAGCGGCGGCGACTCGCCTTGCCCTTAAGGCATCGAGCGAGGCCGACGTTTCTGCCGTCCAGGAGCCCGGGCCGAGGCTCGACCGCGTACGCGCGCTCGAGCGTGATCCGGTAGTCGGGAATCTTGTCGCAGGCGCCGCCCATAAGCGTGAGCCTCGCGCCGCGGCGGTAGAGGACGGCCCCGAGACACGTGCGGTGCTCGCACGCCCGGAAAGGGTTGACATGTTCAGACAAATGTGAATAGACACCGCCGCCGTCTAGAGAGAGCCTCTGATGGAGGCCCTTTTGGAGGCAACTTTTGTGCCAGTCCGCGGTCTTGTCCACCTCGATGGAGAATCGACCCATCGTCGACGACCAGGTCCGGCAGGAGCCGCCAGGGTCGTCGCCGCAGGTCATCGCCTGGATGACGACGCGATGAAACTGGTGCATGGTCAGCGTCGCCGGCACGACGAGGCGGCACCAGTCGGCGGCGGGCGCCAACGCGTAATCGACGCACCATCGCTTCTTCGGACTCAGGAAATACTCGATGTGCACCGGGGATCCTCAG